ACCAACCCTTCATCCTATTTTTTTTTTTACCACCCTTCTCCTTTGTTATATGGTTCTCACCAAAAGACTACCTCAGATGAGTCAGGTAAGTTGGACCAACTCAACATACTTTTTGTACATAGACAAGACACACATCAAGGCAAAGGACAACTTAAAAATCTTATATAATTATGGAGTGCATGTAGTCCTTACCATATAAGTCATTATGGATATTGCAATCAAAGACTTTCCTAAAAGAAACTCATATGACATCACCTTCTCATTCAGTTCTTAGCTTGTTCTTTATGAAATAGACTTAGGGAAATCATTACAAACATCTAACTATGGAATGCACGAACAAGAACTTCGCCTTGTATGAAAAGGTTGATGATGTGCAGTGAATACAAGACATTGTAAAGGGCTCATCATGTATAAAGTTATCCACCTGCGTGTTACTACAAAAAACACATGCAATAAATGATATGGACACCCTTGCAGTCAAGAAGAATTAAGTGTTAAATAATTACTCTAATCCCTTGTAAGCAAAGGAGAGTAACATGCAGCAAATACAAACTCCTACAAACTACTATAGGAAGCTTATCTGAAACAATAAATGATCTGTATTGGCATTTACGAGCAAAAACAGTTAGGTTGTTTGCAACATCGGATGAATCATAAATGCCCATTTCTTTCCTTTATATAATGTTAACAAGAATCGAAGTGTATAATAATTTATTGCAAGAAGTGGCAAACGGCCCGTAATATAGGACTACTACCCATCGATAAGCAAGATATATGTTGAATGTAATCTGCTTGCATGCAATAGCAAGTGGCTGCTAGATATCCACTGACAACCTATAGATTTATTCAATAAAGCTTATAGTGTATAACAACTTGTATGAAGGAAGCCATAAATGACCCAGATCATATGCTACGATTCACCTGTAAGCAAAAATAGAGAGTAGGTAGTAAAATTTCAAGTCATTGGTAAACTAAAGAGTATACTTATGGCACATGGTTGTCACATCAGATAAATAAGCTTGATTACAAGTGATAAATTTGAGATCCCTGATGCACTGCACGGCTCATATACAAGCTGAAGCATATCCCCGCAGGCTAAACATTGAAGAAGATAGTGACATGTAGATGATGAATGTGCCAAACTACAATTGTCAATTCATGATATATAAAGTTCCACAAGCTGCAATGCTATGCCACCGAATTTGTAACATTCTTACAAGCGGATAAAAGTCATGTACGAGGTCTTAAATATAGTGTTGCACATATTCAAATGACAATTGCCAACATAGGTTATCAACATTGAACATTTTAAAATGCCCCCACATGTGTATTATAACACATATACACACAAATACAAAAGTGCACATGCAGGCACATCAATACACGAATGAAAACATAAGTGTGCATGTAAGTATGTGAATATAACCCAAAGAGATGAATATTTAATCATTCACCCACATGGGCCCTAACGAGCATGTTATGGGTACACATATAATGTCTGAGGATGCTAAGTAGGTCTATAAATGAACTTAAGTTCGAGCACAATCCTTTTATGTGAAGAGATACGAGTTAGCATGGCCCAAACTATCAAATAAATATATGGTCACAACGTCAATAAGGATATTTATTTTATTACATTTATATTGGGCCTTTAAGGTTTATAAGAAAGAAAATTTATTAAATAAAGACACAAAGCCTACTATGAACCCTATCCTCTATTAGTAATTAGACGGAGTCGATTACGTAAAATATATAATAATTAAAAATACTCCCTAAATACCAGCACGAGACCTGACAAGCGTATTATGGGTAACACATGACATCTGAGGAAACTACGTGGGTCAAATAAAAAACATAAGTTCAAGTCAAATCCTCCTCCTTGATAGAACGAGTGTTAACACGAATTAAACCAATGAACAAGTATATGGTCGTGGCATCGACCGAGTTATTTGATTATATAGTTCATATTAGGCTTTCAAGGTCCATAACAAGAAAAATTTACTAATAAAAATATACACCCGATAATGAACTCAATTCTCAGCTTGCAAGCAAACAGAGTCGATATGGTTCAATCAATAAAATACAATTTCTCGTAAATACCTCGATAATGGCCGTGTTAAAGATATATCTTAATAAGAGGAGTTAATTTAAAACAATTCAAAATACCATCAATTCCCAAAAAGATACAAAACTCTAAAAATTCCAAAATCAAAATATTTAAAATTGAAATTCATCCATGAAATGCTCAAAGAAAAATCCATCCACCCTCCATGATTATTTACCGAGGCGAACAAATCTAAATATCACTTTATCTCACTAATACATAATGTCTAGTCATGAATATTAATAGGATTCATTCTCAAACAGACTCTTTCCACCAGAGACATGGCACGTGTCCTCTAACCAACAATTTTTCCACCAAATGACACCACAAATAAATGGTTATGATCGGGGGCCTCTGAACTGGGTGGTTTGCCGCCAAATGGCACTACTAGATTATGGTTATAACCAAATCATGTAAGCTCCCCAATGCACTAAATTTTTGAGATATGAATTAATAGGGTATGATCGATGGGGCACAAAGCCCTATGTTAGTTAAGGTAGATTCAAATTTATCCCCTTAAATAAACATCCACCCCAGGTCTATATGGTATCCTTAGACGACATAACCCATAGCTACTAACAAGGATCCTTCTATTAGGTTGGGTTGATTACCTCCTTTGACTAAGTAGACTAAGGATCATGATATTCCGGGATGACATAACCATGGGATCATTATCTGGTCCATCGTCCATCCACCCCACCATCCACTTTAAGTAGAAGATGATAAAATTTCTAATTTTAAATATCCAAATTTGAAACTTAAACCGTTGCTACTACTATATGTCGAATATCACGTATCCACGGGTATGATGTATTCATTTGATGACTAGCCTTGATCGAAAGTTCTCTCTTGTTATCAGGAGGGGTAATTAATTATAGAGGCTTGCACTTATAGGAAACAAAAACTCAAATATAAAGTCCTCCCAAAATGAGGGTGAAATCTCTGCATAGTGTCTTATCTACAAACCTAATATACCTCCTGAAAATTTATTCCAGAACATAATCCATTAAAACTCCTCTTAAAAAGAGGAGAGGTCGGGGCATGATTTTTCGAAACCCACACATCCCTCATTTTCTTGGGAGGTGCCCGTTATGCCTCTTTCCATCTCATCACCAACCCTTCATCGTCTATTTTTTCACCACACTTTTTCTTTGTTATTCGGTTCTCACCTAAGGACTAGCACGAAAGAGTCAGGTAAGTTGAACCAACTAAACATATTCTTTGTACATAGACAAAACACACATCAAGGCGGAGGACAACTAAAAAATCTTATATAATTATGGAGTGAATGTAGTCCTTACCATAGAAGTCATTATAGATATTGCAATCAAAGACTTTCCTATAGAGAGGCATACTCGGGATTCACTGTTTGATGATGATATTCAACCACCAGACAAATTCTCTCCAAAGGTTCCAAGTAATTTTTCTATTTTCCTTCTCCTACAACTATGAAGGCCTCACCATCGTAAGGGCGTCAACAACTATAGCGGAGTTAAACTCCTCGATAAGAAATTATCTCTATTTGGAGCCTAATTAGAGGTCATCTGGCCAACATAGATGGCAATGGGGTGCCACCAAAACTTGAGGAGAGAGCACTCTCCTTTGCCGTATAAGATTCAACACTTAAGGAGCCACATCTTCTTGTGGTCTATACCACATTTACCAATGTGGCAATCTCTGATGCCACGCCAGCTCCACTTTCAACACCTTCAGGAGAGTAATGGTAGCCAACTACGCCTCACTAAAGACCGTTGTAGAACTCGCCTCAACTACCTCACATAACTAGGCGGGTACTCAATGGTAGCACACCTCACTTGCTTAAAGCTAGACATCGCTAACTTGATAAGATCCATCTCTACTCTTTCAAATAAGTCATAAGTTCACAAGATGCTCAATTGTAAAGATCTCTAACCTCTCAAGATGGAATTTATTGATGGTGAATTGAATAACATGTCACTAGAATCATCATCATAAATTTGCATTATACCCTAGACTACAATAATAGTAAGTTAATGACTCATATTTACTTTTCTTTGTACTATTGGATTGTAATAATAAAGGCTCATTATTAATTTAATTATCATTTTTGCAATTTTCCCTTCAAAGAGATGTAAATAAAAAAACTAATGCATACTCATACATATCCAAATAGGGTATTAGTGATTATAATTCAGCCAAGATAGTTATGTTGCCCACTACGATAACTCGCCAATTTAAGGAACTCACCAAGGTCAAAAATCATCCCCAACAAGAGTTGCAAGGAGCTCCCACAAATCGGTCCAAGGTCTATATACTTTGTGCAGGTCAGTCCCCCAAGGCTACTCACCCTCACCCAAACCGACAAGTCACAATCAACATCTGAAGTCATCTATGATGAGAAAAAGACCTAAAAAGTCAAGGGTCGTAATGTCCTAAACTCAATATGTTCTCAACTTGTTATTATCATAACCTATAATAACTTGACTTCCACGCTTAGTAGCCTCTGAATTGTAGGTGTATATACACACATTGACAAGATCAGTTATTTAAGCTTGTCAATTTATCAGTTCACTAAAGAGGCTCGCCTCACTTCGTCCCTCTCATAGAATTGCTCAAGGAAGTTGTCATGAGACATAAGGCTAAGCTGAAGATGAAGAAACCTGCAATGTGTTATATTAATAAAGCACCTATATATGTGAAGCCTTATCTTCGGCTCATATTTCTATAAAGAAGAGGTGAGAAACACATCTTTTGGAGTGTTATTAATCTACATGAGCAGTTTTCTTATTATCTTAGTCTTTCCCTAAACCCTCTGAATCTTTTTCTTCTTTTTCCTATTCTATACTCATCTCAAATTATGAGGTTCTAGTCTTTGTAAATTGCCTACTAAGAAAGTCATGTGTCATTTACGGGAACATTTAGATCAAATAGTTATGCTCATAACAAACAATTAATGATCTGTTTAATTCACATGTTTGATTAACATTCAAAATAACATAACACATGAGACACAAATCTAGCTGATTAAAATATGAATGCAGTTAAATTCTGTGTCGTGTTATTTGACACAAATTGTACAGTGTACACGACAAATCGGAGAACCAACCATATTGAGCACCAAAAAGCGGCATTCTTTATTCCCCCTGGTGCAGCATGATATACCCACAAATGTCTTGTTCAAATATCATATATCCTACATAGAGGACTCAGAACGACGAGCGCAAGCTATAATCTGAAGGTGGAGAGCACTCTGCTTGCACTGCTAACGTCTTGACAGTTCCTCTACATGGGTCAGGGCTGAAAGTTTTTATTGAAACTGTGACGTAGCAGCTGTTTCTTCCCAAACAGGCCTGGAGGAGTAACCGAGTAAATTAAATAAATGATTACATGATAAATAGCTGGCAAGGAATAAATAGTCATTGCAGCAGTACACCCACCTCGGATATGACAAATGATGAGTTTTGTGCATGGCATTTTCCCTTGGAGAAATATTGGCAGCTGCCATGAGGGGTTCCAAAACTAGCAAATGTTATGGAAGAGATAGCGTACCCATCATCACAGTGCAAGTGCATTTCTGGTTGAGATTTATCAAACGAGATATTTCCAGTATAACGCTCCGGATGATGCCAGGAAGAAAGGGGTGGATAGTGAGTCTCTGAAACTTGTGAACAGATTGTTACAGTCGCATGCTTCTTTAATTTTATCTCTAGCGGATCCCCGCCTGTTTCCTCAAATATGACGAGCAAGTTGCTGGAAGCTTGTAACCACTCTCTTGGAATGTGATATCTGACGAAAAAAACCACCAATCACTCATCATTTAGGATCCCATAGATATACATAGCTTTGAATTCACAACTGCAAAATATGTTAGCTGCTATAAAGAACTAGTACGGATAAAATAAGTGAATTATGAACATAATGATAAGCACTTACACCTAAATAGTAGCATGTTTAATTCAAGAATGACAGTATGCTTACAAAGTTTGCGTTGGTTTCCCACAGTTGGTCAAGCATTTGTTTTCATTGTAAGCACCACGATAGTTGCAAGTTCCGGGGCATCCATATTTTGGTGCAACTAGTGACCAGTATCGTCCAATTCCGTGGCCATTTACCCAAGCTTGGCCCTTCCCCATGCTGCCTAGATCGAGAGCAATTGTAACTTTTCCTTCTGGTATATCAAAGTAAGTCTGCATAAAGTAGAAAGTATCAGTGGCGGACTGCAGGAGAAGCCAACTAATTTTTCTAGAGTTAAGCCGAAGTAATAGTAATATTAGTCAAATCAAGAATAACTAGGCAAGTGAACAGACATTCAAGTTCCCAAATAAATAAAGTTCTTTCTACTTTTGTTTTGTTTACAACATTGAAAAGGCACACATGTTAACTATATTTTATTTCTTTACTTTAATATAAAACAAATAAATGTAGCAAAAAGTATTGCCAACTCTAACTTCAATAAGAATATTAATGCCATACAACATTCTCCGGATAGATACATCCAATCTGCAGCTTACCTTGTACCATGTAAAGGGTGTTTTCACCTTATCAGGCTGCAAAATAGTCCAGTCAACCTTTTCTGCTTCTTCTGGAGCAAATATCTTCACAAATTCTCCCTTCAACCCTACCTGCAGTATAAAAATGTCAGTAAAAACTGTGATTTTTCATGAACTATGATTCCCTAGCAATGTCAAATAAAGCCATTACTATAGCCAAATGCAGCAATACAATCCAAAAATAAAATAAAAAATTGCACACTAATGAAGTATGCTCTAAGGATTTAACAACTTCAAGGATTAGTATGGAAATAAAATGCATAACATCAACAACAATAAAAATAAGCCTTTATCCCAATACGTAAGGTTGGCTACATGAATTCCTTTCTCCATTGTTTCATGCTACGAATCAAATTCTCATATAAATCTAATAAAAAAAAGGTCATTTCTAATACTTTCTAACAAATTCTTTTTAGGCCTATGTATTTCTTAAAATAAAGTATTCTAATACATCTACTCTGCTAATTGGGTCATCGGAAGGCCGATGTTTATTGTGACCAAACCATCTAAGGCAACTCCCTAGCTAATCTTATCTTCCACCAGAGCTACTCCAACCATTTCACATAAATACTTGTTTTGCATTCTGACTGCAAGAATAAAGCCATTCATCCACCTGAGCATCTTCAACTCTGCAACACAACTTCATTTATGCTTCTCTTTTAATGGCCAACAATCTATCATAAAACTTTGGAGGTTTCATCACCATCTTATAGAATTTTCTCTTAAGTTTGAGGGATAATTTTCTATCACACAATAAGCCCAATGAATTCCTCTACTTCAACCATTCAACTTGAATTCTATTAATAATATCCCCATATATTTCAACATCATTTTGAACAATAGACATGATATATCTAAAACTTTTACTAAATTTAATGAGTTGATTGCTCAAAGTCACAATACCCCCACTTGATCAATTACTATAAAAATCAAACTCCATGTATTCAATTTTAGATCTACTCAAACGAAAAACTTTAGACTGTAAGGTTCACCAAAATAATTCAAGTTTTCCTAAAACAGTTTCCTTCAACTCATTTATAATCTTATCAACAATAAGAATATCATATACAAAGAGTATATATGCAAGAGGATGTACCTTGGTGTATGCTTTTTGCTGATGATATTCTTCTTGTTGATAAGGTGACTTAAAAATCGTACACGCGCGCAAGATCTCATGACAAAAATCTCACTAAGAGAGGGAGTTGAAAGTAAACTTGAATTATGGAGGTAAACATTAGAGACTAAAGGTTTTCGCTTGAGTAGATCTAAAACGGAATATATGGAGTGTAATTTTAGTAGTAATAGAACTAGTGAGGGGATTGTGACTTTGGGCGATCAAGTCATTAATAAGAGTATATGTTTTAGATATCTTGGATCTATTGTTCAGAGTGATGGTGAAATAGATGGGGATATTATCAGCATAATTCAAGTTGGATGGTTGAAGTGGAAATGCATTGGGCTTGTTGTGTGATAGAAAAGTACCACGCAAACTTAAGGAAAAATTCTATAAGATGGTAGTGAGGCCTGCACTGCTTTATGGTGCTGAATGTTGGCCATTAAAAGAGAAGCATAATACTAAGTTAAGTGTGGCAGAGATGAGGATGCTCAGGTGGATGAGTGGCTTTACCCTTAGAGATAGGATACAAATTGAGCGTATACGTGAAAAGATTGGAGTAGCTCCAGTAGAAGATAAGATTAGAGGGAGTCGCCTTAGATGGATTGGTCACATAAAAAGGCGGCCTTCTAATGACCCGGTTAGGAGAGTAGAGGTATTATATTTGACTTATGTTAAGAAAGGTGGCCATCGTGCTTCATGCCGAGATCCCCGAATAAATATTTAAAATTATCAATACAAATGTTCTATCATGCTGAATAATACAACGATTTCTTTTTCAAAGTATATGCAGGTGATCTTTCAAAAGTTAGAGACACCACCTTCTCTAACAAACCAATATTCAAAAGTCAGGAAAGAGACTTTTGTGATTATCTACTCTAATAAGTCGAGCCAAAAAAGCTTAAAGTCTTCCAACAATCTGAAGCTTAAGGTTCAAATGGGTGTAAAAGGTCGGATCCAACACGCCCAAATATGACCGGATAGTTAGCAGCTCTATCTACTCAACATGCCATAAGAAAGGCCGTAGTAGCGGAACCCCCACTTCATCAACCCATCAGTAGGGACTGTAGGAAGCACGAAGACAAATTTGGCTCGACAAGTTCAAGTGATTGTAGTCTACCAAATTCTCCTAAATGACTGGAGAATTTAAGTTCCAGTGGGAAGGAGGGATCTCGAGCAACTACTGAATGTTCGTAGGCTCAAAATCATCAACCACAAAGGATGACTCCAAATCTACCAACTTTAGCAAAATCAGCACTGGGGAGCACAATTCCCATAGCTCAAGTCTGAAGCCTGAATGGGTGTAAGAGGTCAGATCCAACAAGCCCAAATATGGCCGGATCGCTGGCGGCTCCATCTACTCAACAAGCCATAAGAAAGGCAGTACTAGAGGAACCCCAATCTCAGCAACCCGAGGACGAAGAGTAATCGAATCTTAGCTCACTCGATCTGATGAACTCAAGTGACTCAGATTAAAGTCTCCTTAACTGGTTAAGGATCAAGATACTACCTATATTTGGTAATATCAACTGAATCCAGAACCTGCAAATCCTTCAACAAATCCGTAAAGCACAAAGCGAGGATCGAATGAATTTTTCTTCAACAAGTCCATTAAAGCACAAAGCAAAGGACCGAAGAAAATTATCCCAAAGTTCACACAAAGCCTAAGGCTGAACTAAGCGGATTCCATCATCAACAAATCTGCTATGCACAAAGCTCTAGACCGATGACTTTTAGCCATCAACTTGATACGAAACTAAAAGGTTTAGGTTACCGGCATCTACTCCTTCATCAAGCCCGCCAAAGCATGAAGCATAGGGCCGAAGGAACATAAATCTCCTGACAAATCATTATTGATAAATCAAATAATCCTTCATCAATGTCTGCAGCACAAAGCACAGGACAGAAGAATTAAAATCTCAGGACTCAAGCCAAAGCTACGAAAAGAGTACCCTGAATAACATCTACAAATGTCCCTATAGACTGAGGGCATTTTAAATATTTATTTTGGTCGACATCGTGCCGCATGCCAAGATCCCCAAATAAATATTTAAAATTTTGCCAAGATACAATGAGATGATAGATAAATGTCAAGCAGATACAAAGATGCTAAGAACAAAAGTGACGGTGATAGTGAAAGAAGAGCAAGATGAGGCAATGATATATGCTAGCATCGATCTACAAAGTAACACTCAAGGGATCTGAGTATGAAGTACTCTATCACTATCCCATGAATCTGTAATTGACCAAGAGCAAATATATCATTTATACTTAAGATTACAAGTGCATCTAAAGATCCGTGAAGTCAAAGAGATGGACTTTTGGAGATCCGCTAAATGAAAATCTTAGTGTGACATCAAAGCAAATTCTTGGAGATCCACTAAATGAAAATCTTAGTGTGACATCCAAATGAACTTTTGGAGATCCACTAAATGAAACCCTTTATGTGACATCTAGAACAAATATCTATAGATCCATAGGGTCAAACAGCTTACAACAAATGTGATTCGCTCTAGACGCGTACCACATTTGTTGGGGGGCATTTGTTGACTTCTATGCCTTATCCAAAAGACAACAAAAAAAATTTCACGCACCTGTTATACAATGTCGGCTGCTCACACCGCAAAACCTGCAAGAAATCACGCTAACATGCAAACGGCGCCATTCTTGTCTCATTCCTGGAAATCTTGCTCAAATCCTACGATCCGTAGCCCCATCCCCTTTGTTAAATACCTGACCCAAACGAGGCATTCTTTTGTTGCTTCTCACTCGCCTCCTCCACGCAAAACCTCCCTCATCCCTCCTCCGATCTCCATCCAACCCCATCTTCCAAACCCTTCTACCCGATCTCCTCCTACAAGCCGAGCCCCTACCTCCATCTGAAAGCCATCACCCCTATCATGTTCGCAACCCGTCGATCCAGAGAGAGAGAGAGAGAGAGAGAGAGAGAGAGAGAGAGAGAGAGAGAGAGAGAGTGGAGTTCACATCCTCTTGCCCTAGCCTCTACCCGACTGTCTCCCTCGACGACATCTCGTTCCTGTCGGACTGGGACTTAAGGCATTTTAATAGGAAGGAGCAACGGGAGATCACTGTGTGAAGGTAACTATCTCCCTTTCACGCGCAATCTTCGGTCAAATCCAGTATTGCCGCCGAACTATAGAAAAAAGGAAGGGAAGAGATGTTAAAAGATTTTAATTAAAATTAATGTTTATTAATTTGAATTAGAATTTATATTAATTATATTAGTTATAATTATTCTAATTAATTATAATTATTATAATTAATTATGGATAATACTAATTAATTAATTTTAATTAAAGATTATTTTAATTAACTATAATTAACTTTAATTAACTATAATTATTAATTTAATTATAATTATTACAATTAATTATGATTAATTTTAAGTAATTAATCATAATTAATTTTAATTAATAAAGATTAATATTAATAAAATATGATTAATATTAATTAATTATGATTAATTATTATTATTTTTTAATTAAAATTAATTAATATTAATTATTTATAATTCAATGACGATAATGACAGGTTTACTTAGGCTCCATTGAATAATTTTACAAAGTGTAGCCAAATTTTTTATACATTAAAATTGATATTCATTATAGAATTCATAAAAAGTAATGATTAAAGTTAATTATGAATTTATAATGATTTCAATGCTTGATTATTCCCAATAATGTACTTTAAATTTTAATTAATTTGTAAAGTTTACTGAGTCTCATAGCTCACCAATGTTTTCTTATTAGATGTTCTTACAGGAAAAGGCAAGAAGAAGATCATAGCAGATTAAATTGTTAAGTATTCCGCATATTATATTATGTTAGTATTTATCTTTGTTTGGGAAGTCTAAACTTGAGGTATGTAACTAGTGATATATTACTATGGATTTTCTTGAGTAGTGGCTCTGTAAGTATCTCATGTAAAAATTAAAGTTATTAGTTGCTTCTATTTGATGGGATGAATGAGGACTATTAGATGTTTTATAAAGGTTTTCAAATGATCAAAAGTATTGTTTGATCAAAAGATGAGATGTTTATGTTAGTAACACTCCATGTACTATTAAAGGGGTGCTTTGAGGTGTTAGAGTTATCATAGGGGTTAACATATTGGAACTTAATAACTATAAAAAATTTAATCATTATTCTAGAATATATTATCCTAATTGGTATAACCTCTCTAGTATTTATTTCTAACTCTAGTTTTATATTATAAATAGACATCAAAACACCTCTCTACAACTAGAGAAGCATTATCCTCAGTTCTAATAAAGCCGTTTTTGAAATAGCATGCTCATATGTTATTAAGTGCAAAAAAGCACGTGCCATAGGCAAGATAGCATTGAGTCCATGATGCCGTTCAAGGAAGTCCGCAGGTTGAATGCTGGTGGTTTCCAGAACTTAAGTATTTATTGAAACAAAAAAATAAATAAATAAAAGAGACAGATATAACTACTGTTTCATGGTTCCAACAAACATTTCAATCTTATAGACGGCATACCTGGTAGGTCCAGGGAAAACTAGATAGGTCAATTTCCCCATCTTTAAACCCAGTCAGCTTTATTGGACCCCTGAATCCTGCTCCATCCTTTTCTATGAAAGCACCATAGTTCTGCAATTAAAAGTAAAGAAAAATTTGAAGTCACAATTATAGAAAGAGAGTTATAACAGAAACCTGCTGCATCGGTAATAGAACTTGTAATTAATCTAACTAAACACAAACCAATATTGAACCAATCACAGAAAAAGAAGAGAACGAGAAAGAGAAAAGAAATGCAAGAAGGAAAAAGTTACTTAAAAAATAAGCTTCATGCTAGTATTAAATGATAAAATTCCCAAAATATTTAAGGAATAAGAGTCTCCAGATCCATAATACAAATTTGTCCAAGCCATAAACTATGTTAAATGACTAAGAATTCTAAAAATTATAGATGATAAAAAATAAAAACATGCAAACAATTACCAATAAAGTACTAAAAAAATATTAATAATTACTAATGAACTTCTAACAAATTACTAACAAACAAAATGGCATAGAATAGAAAAATTTTTATGAAAGAATGAAAGTAAATAAAATAAATAAAATATACCTGGAAAAATCAATTTTAAAATAATGCCCATACAGTAGGAGGGCAATATGAATAGGGTTCTACGAGATAAAATATTTTTATCTTGCCAAACAAATGTAGAAAATTAAAAATTCCAACCAATCGCAATCATCAAAGAGTGCAAACAATGCATGGGGCTCCCAATCCAGAGTTAACAAAAATTGATTTGCATATTACTCCAATCTCAAAATGATGTAGAAAATATGATTATAAAAATAAAAAATAACTATTTTGGGCCATTTTGTCCAGAGATCAACCAAGTTGATCTCTATTAAAAGTTGCTCGACATTAGCTTAATTGCAATATATAGAGATGAAAAAGGGTGGCATAGAGGAATAAACAGACCGTTTACTCTTCTTTTCCTGTTATTCAGCATTTAAAATGGTTCAGATAGCACAAATCCAACTGGAAAGGAAATTTATATTATATTACCTGACATGAAATTACAAGAATATCTTCCTACGGAAATATATTTTAAATTTCATTAAAGCTCTAACTCTTCTCTCTAGAATATTTTAGTTTTGCTACTACCAGTTGCAATAAATTACCATCGTTTAAAGGTGTATGAACTAAGAAAATGCAATTCAGCAAGAGAACAACAGGCAGCCTGAATACAGATCGCGTTGCAAATATACCAGCTCACACTCGGGTCAACAAAAATTAGAAGCTTTTTAAATCATGTCACCTTACCTTCAAGCCGATAGCCTCAGACAATAATGCCAATTCATTGCATCCCTGGACCAGTTGAAGGGTTTGCTCCAGCTTAACCCAGTTCCCATATGTACCACCTTCATTTCCAACCAAAGTCATTAATGCATGGAAAGCTAAATCCTTGTTGTTCTACAAGTTACAAAGAAAAAAGAAACAAAGAAAGAAACTCAAAATATACAGCAAAATATAGTCTCTGCACCATTGCAATAGAAAAACTTGCAACTTGGAGGCATGTTTAGCAGCCTGTAACAAAAGGCTAGAGATGAAAATGAAAGAAATAAAAATACGGCTGATTTTCTGGTAGGGACGGAAGTGGTAAACCAGATTTGATTAGAATTGTGATATAAGAGATTCTTTTGCTTCCAACTTCATATCAAAATTACTAAAAAGTCCCACAAAAGTGGAATAAATAAATACTTCTAATCATAAATATGGCCATTACAACAACAATAACATCAAGCCTTTATCTCACTATAATAGGTCAGCTATATGAATCCTTTTCTCCATTGTGTCATACTAAGAATCAAATTATCATCTAAATCTAATCAAGAAAGGTCATTCCTAATATTCCTAACCAAGAATTTTTAGGTCTACCTATAACTTTCTTAACATAAGTCAAATTTAAAATACCTACTTTCCTAACTAGGTCATCAGAAGGCTGCCATTTTATGTGACCAAACCATCTAAGGCGAATCTCTCTAATCTTATCTTCCACTTGAGCTACTCCAACATTTTCACGTATATGCTCATTTCTTATCCTATCTCTAAGAGTAAAGCAATTCATCCGCTTGAGCATCCTCATCTTTGCAACACTTAACTTAATATTATGCTTCTCTTTTAATTGCCAACATTCTGCACCATAAAGCATTGTAGGGCTCACCACCATCTTATAAAATGTTCCCTTAAGTTTAAGGGGGACTCTTCTATCACACAACAAGCTTGATGCATTCCTCCACTTCAACAATCCAACTTGAATTCTACTAATAATATTCCCCATCTATTTCACCATCACTCTGAACAATAGACCCGAGATATAAAAAATTTGTACTCTTATTCATGACTTGATCCCAAAGTCACAACCCCCACCCCACAAGATCCATTATTACTAAAATTACACTCAAAATATTCAATTTCAGATCACTCAAACACAAGCCTTTAGACTCAAAGGTTGGCTTCCAAAATTCCAGTTTACCTTCAACTTTCTTTCTAGTCTTATCAACAAGAAGAATATCATCAACAAAAAGCATACACTATGGCACATCCTCTTGCAAATGTCTAGTGAGAACATCCATGACTAAAGCAAAAAGATATGGGCTTCAAGCTGATCGTTGATGTAATCAAATTGAAATAGGAATTGAAATACTTAGTCAAACCACCTTGTGTTTAAAAACAAGTAACAACTCCTACATCCATATTCTTAATGACTCGAATATAAGCATTATTAACCCATTTCTTTTCTAGAACTCTCCATAACACTTCTCTTGGACCTTTATCATATGCTTTCTCAAAATCAATAAATATTATATGTAGATCCTCCTTATTCTTTCTATACTTCTCCATCAAACCTCTCAATAAATATATAGCTTCCATAGTAGACCAACCTGGCATGAATTCAAATTTGATTTTAAAAAACATTAGTATCATGCCACAACCTATGCTTCATAACTCTCTCACATAGTTTTAAAATATGACACATTAACTTAATTCCTCAATAATTCGCAAAATCTTGTGCACCACTTTTATTCTTAAAAATATGAATCAACACATTCATTCTCCACTCATTTGGCATCTTTTTAGTCTTAAAAATAATATAAAAAAGTTTAGTAAGCTAAGAAATTCCTTCATCTCAGCATTTTCACATCTCTATTGGAATATCATCAGGTCCAACTGCTTTTCCACTTTATTTTCTTTAAAGCCTCTCTAACTTTGGTTTTACAAATACGTCGATAAAAACAAAAATATTTATTTTCATTTAAGGTGATAAGGCCACTAAAGCCGATCGTATTCTCACAATTTTCATTGAAAAGTTTAGCAAAATATCTCATCCACCTTAGTTGAATATGATTTTCTAATAAAAGCATTTTTTGATCTTCATCCTTAATACACTTAAACTAAATCCATACTACTCCTATTTCTCTGTTTGGTTAACTTATACACATATCTTTCACCCTCAATATTTATCTATTATATATAAATAAATTATTAAAGGCTAAAATCATTGCATTGCATATTGTTTTCTTAGACTCCTTACGAGCTTCTTTATATCTTTCTCAATTTTGAGAATATATACATCTAAAAGAATTGTTATGACAAATTATCTTATTTTTTATCTTTTCTTGCACATTTTGACTTCAACAATAATAATTTTTACTATTAGGAGTTATTCTCATAGATATTTCAATCATATCTTTTATAACATTCTTAATAACACTCGCTATTTTTTCTCACATAACCTTAGCTTCCTCATGCACAAACAAAATATTAAGATCTAGAATCTTAGTTTCAAAAATATTTTTATTAATATTTTTTTAATGCCCCATCTTAAAATCAAAAATAATAAATGATGTAGGATAAATAAACTTTCACTCAGAATAACCTTACAATCTTTACAATCTAAATAATATATTTTTTTAATAAGAAAATAATCAATCTAAATTTTACTATATCCATTCTTATATGTGATGAGATGGTCATCACTTTTCTTAAATAATATATTAGCAATTATAAAATCAAAAGATAAAATAAATTTAATATGATTTTACCACCTTCATTAGTCGCTTCAAATTCATAAGCATCATGAATGCTTTTAAAATCATCTCTCTCTACCAACATGTCCATTTAAATCTCCTCCAACAAAAACTCTTTCTTCAAGAAGTACCTTTTATATTTATTCTTCCAAGTTATTATCAAAATTTTAATTTTAAACACATCTAAATTTAGTTGAGGAACATAAGCACTTATAATATTAATAATCTAAGTATCAATAACAATCTTTAAAACTATAATTCTATATCAAATTCTACTAATTTTTATAATATTATCCTTCAAACTCTTATATATAATCACACCTACAGCAGTTCTACTAAGACTTTGTTAATCTCTGCATAAGGTCTAAAAAAAAACCAAATAAAAAAAAATAATATCCATACGTGCACTTTGCCAAAGCCCATACCGAGGTCTTGCTACAGTCATATCCCCACTGCTTGTTATAGTGTCCAGGCCTGCGATTCGGCGCCGTTGCAGCTGTCCTATGCTCACCTCGATCGCAACCCTCCGCACCTTTAAAATGGAAGCAAAGCTCTCATTCATTCACCTCTTCTCCACACACGACCGAACTTACCTTTGCATTTTTTTGTCGCCTTCACTGTGTCCGAACTCCATCAGCCAGAAACCAAAACCCATATGCCTCTTCCTCCAGATCGACGTTGACCCAACACTAGCTAAAACCTATACCCGATCCCGTCAAAGCCTCCATCGAGCCGAGACCTAGGAGCCCGCTTTCCCTATCTTTGTCTTGCCTGATCCCTCTTCATGCCGCAAATCCATCTAACCTATAGCCATTGTGCTGATACTCACATAGAGCCTCATGATTTCAGCCCTTGCCTGATAAAGAGAGAGAGAGAGGACCAATGCCCTAACCTCCTTCGACGGCGTCCCTTTCCTATCGGATTGCAGGTTCTGACATTTTAATCGGAAGCAACAACGAGCGCTCCTTCACAATGAAGGTAACTTTCTCCTTTTTCAATGTTGCTTTGGCCAAATCCCGTAAATTCTCCGCATTACAATTATGGCAAAAAAGATAGAAATAAAAGATTTAACTATGGTGTGAGATTTAAGAGTGCCTAAATCATGCATAAATCCCACTCTAATCCGACTTTAATCCTACTTAAGTCAGCAAAAATCATGTGCCTAAATCCTTTTTCTAATTAATTAAAATTATTTATTTTAATTATATTTAATTATTATTATTAATAGCTAATTCTGATGAAATAATAATAACTATAATTAATTAGTTTAATCATATTTAATTAATATTAATAATAATATAATATAATTAAATAAAATTAATTGTAATTAATCCTTTTTATTATAATTAATTATTATTACTATTAATTAACTATAATTAATTAATTTTTATTATAATTAATTATTTTAATTATAATTTATTATTAATAATTATATTTAGTATGATTAATTATAATTAATTATTAATTTTAATCATAAAAAATTATTATTAAATATAATTAGTTATAATTAACTAAAGATTAATTATAATTAATATAAGAAAAAGAAAAATTCTTCCATTGCCTCGATCTATATGCCGACTCCACTGACGTTCCCTCGACAAAGTATAACCTCATAAACTTAAAAAACCCATTCTTGGTGCTTGCAGCGCGGCGCTGCGAACGACCACTCAGGCGCGTGGGAGGGAATTCTCCGCGGTGCTAGTGGAAGGGCGCGTAATCCCCCTAAAGTCCTGTTTTCGGCATTTGCGGCTGTTGACCATTGTTCTGAAACAAAAAAAAAAATCAAATCCCTCACCTGCTTTGGCATCCCACGTCGCACGATCCAGTGCCGCTCTTCGCACGTCGAGGCCATGCCTCGCGTCGTTTCTCCCCACGATTGCTCATACGACTCGGTCGAGTCGTTAAAAGCCCAAAGCGATGAGGCTTTCAGCCTCTTCCACGATCCCCTCCGCTCTCGCTGGTTCTCCGCTCTCCGATCGAACGATCCCACTCTTCCTTCCCTCTCTCGCTGCCGCTTTCTTCCTTCCGAGGCTTCTTCGTCTCCTTCGTGGCTGGTCCGACTTTGCTCCTTGAGCGACGAGCCCCTTACCCGACTCCTGCTCCTAGCCAATCAGAGAGGTTAATCCCTATCTTAGTTAATATTAATATTAACTAATATTAATATTAATACAACTACTAGTATTATATTACAATTATAATAATATTATTATTATCGTTATTGAGCATAATGATATTTAATAATAATAATATAATAATAATATGATAATACTATTAGTATTAATATCAATCTTTATTATTATTATTTAAAAAAAAAAAGAGATACTCCCGCC